GGCTAGAGTTAGAACTGCGGAACTAAATTCTTTAGCATTTTAATGAGTTAACTATTGCTTCCCCAGGAGGGGTGGGCCAGGTTTGGATAGGACCTCCTTACCCTTTGTCTCTTCCCTCTGCAATCTCCCTTATCTAGTTTGTTTCCCCTCCCCCACCGTCTGGACACATCCTTCCTTTTCCCCCTTGTCTTTTTTTTTTTTTTTTTTTTTTTTTTTTTAACCTGTAGGTCATTTGATTGTCCTTGTCTCCCCCTATCCTGTCCCGGTTCTTCTCACCTGTGAATTCTTGGCATTGCTCAGTCATTTGGATTTCTTTTCTTTTTCTTTGATACTTCTCTAGACATATGGCTGTCCTGGAACTCACTCTGCAGACCAGGCTGGTCTCAAACTCAGAGATCCTCCTGCTTCTGCCACCTTGGTGCTGTGATTAAAGGCATGTGCCATGACAAGCCAGCTACATTTATATTTCTCTTTTCACCTTTTAAAATATATAAAATAATGTTTCTTACTGTCAATGTCTCTTACTTTTTGAAGGGCCTTCCTACTTCCATTTTCTCTTCCCCTTTGGTTCTATTTGGCAAAGACACCCCCCCCCCCAATCTCTGTGGGGCTGCAAGGGTGTTTTACATATGGAAGGAGGCTGCATCTGCTGGCTTTCTGCTGCATTTCCCTGAGCTGCTTCTCCAAGTGCCCCTTGCTCTCACATTTCCTGAGGTAGTGAACTGTCTAGGAACCACCAGAAGTCGCTGGCCCCTTCTTCCTTTCTATGTAGAATTTAGCTGTGGGGAAAACTAAGCCCAGTGGTAACTTTTCAAAAAACAGTTTTTATGTCTTTTTTTTTAAATTTTTATTTATTTAGTTGTTTTGGTCAAGTGAAAAAGCCTTTAAGTTCTCTGAGCCGGAAATCAGTTTGCAAGTAGCTCTAGGCATGCAAATGATGCTTTTGACTGCTGCTGGTAGCAGGAAGGATTGCAGTATAATTTCAAATTAACTGTAGTTCAATGGTTACATCCATGCTGCAGCTACTGCCTGCCCAGGGGACTTCCAGAGGTCTAGAAAGAGGGATGGACTTGACAGCAGCACATTTTTTTACCTGGGTGTTTCTGGCTATCCTGGAACTCGCTTTGTAGGCCAGGCTGGCCTCTAACTCAGAGATCTACCTGCCTCTGCCTCCCAAGTTCTGCAATTAAAGGTGTGCAGCACCCACCCCATAAATACTTCCATGGTGTTTTCCCTCCTTTGTTTCATAAATACTTTTATTTAAAAAAATTGTTGGAAAAAAATTATGTGTGCACCAGTGCTTGTTGAAGACAGGGTAGGCTGTAGGCATTCTGGTAACCAAGCTAAATTTCTTAGCCTTGGCTTCTAGAAACTACCTGTTTGAGCTGATTATTCTTTTTTTTAAATATTGCAAAAAATAATCTTGTTCTTAGGAAAATCATAAAATCCACATCATATTGAGGCAAAGTTTTAATCTTACCTGTTGACTAATTAGGCATACCCTCAACCCCAGCACTTGGGTGAGGCTTTGAGAAGGATTTTAAGTTCTTGACCAAGTTTGCCACTTAGCAAGACTGTGTCTTGGGTGGGCATGACTTAGTGGTAGAGTACTTGCCTTGCATGTTCCAGGTCTTGGATTTTTCCAACCTAGACCCCAGTATGTTTCATGTCTCAGATTTGTTTGGTTCTTTTGAGACAGTTTCTCTGGATAACCCTGGATGTCCCTTAACTACTTCTGTAGACTAGGCTGGCCCTCAAACTTACAGAGATCCATCTGCCTTTGCCTCTGAGTGCTGGGATTAAAGGCATGCACTGCCCCCACCCCATGAATGTTGTTATTAATTATACATGGTCCCCCTTCTTGAGCCTTAATATTTATTAAAAGGGGCACCATTCTATTTTCTTAGACAATGCTATATTGCATTGAAATACTTGGGTATATTCGGAGGGTTGAATAAAACATTATAAAATACTGAAACTTCTTCTGAGGATTAAACCTAGGGCTTCAGACATGATAGGTAAGCTCTCTACCACTGAGCTGCATTCCCAGCCCATTTTCCTTTCATTGTGAGACTACAGGGTCTCATCTGGACTGGGTGGCAGGCATGAAACTCGACCTGGGTCATGCATTCTCTCAGGCATGCAAGTAGTTGATCACAGACCAGTACTGCCAACCCTAAATGAAACTTAGCTTCCTTTCTTTATTTTATGCTTGAGTGTTCTGTCTGCATATATTCGTGCATGCCAGAGAAGGCATCAGATCCTATGGTTGTGATTCACTGTGGTTGCTGGGAGTTGAATTCAGTACCTCTGGAAGAGCAGCTGAGCCATCTCTCAAAGAAACAAAATGGGTAACTCAGGCTAGTTTCTAAACTACACCCCCCCAAATAGCTAACCACAGCCTTGAACATGACCCTTCCTCCATCTTCCACCATACAAATGCTGGGATTAGTGACCACTAATAAGGCCTTTTTTTTTTTTTTTTTTTTTTTAAATAACTCAAAAGAGTCCTCTGCTTCCCAATGTTTGTACACAGGGGCTTTCATTCTTGTGAGTCTATATCTATGTTGTGTAGGTTGGTCCTCCTGCCTCTGGTTGGCACTAGGATATGGATATCCACCACATTTTGTTTTTTGTTTGGGGATGACCTGGCTGTCCTGGAACTTGCTTTGTAGCCCAGGCTTGCTTGGAACTCACCAATCTGCTTGTCTGCCTCTCCAGTGCTGGGATTAAAGGTGTGGGCTACCTCCTTGGCTTGCCTTTTAATAGTGTCTATTTATATTTTAAGATGGATTTTCTCGGTGTTGTCCTGGCTGTTCTGGAACTCATTTTGTAGACCAGGCTGGCCTCTGAGCCTCCCTCTGTTTCCCAAGTGCTGGGATTAAAGGCCATGTGCCAGCACACCAGGCATAATGTTCATTAAATTAAAAAGTAAATTTTAGGGCATATTCTGTAATTAATCAATATTATAGACCAACTTACTATGGCTATATTATATTTGAGGGGGGCTTTCCCTCACAGTATTCAAAAAGAATCCTTCCCTTGGAGACACTTTAGTTTATCACAAAAGGTTACATTGCATCAGTGACTTCATGGTGATAAAGTTCAAGGGGCCTATGTTTTCTTCTGATTGTCTGGGAAGCTGCCTGTCACTGGTTTCTTCATCTATAGTTGGGATTTTAGGGGTCACTGACCTCTTTCAAAAAAAAAAAAAAAAAAAGAAAAAGAAAAAGAAAACTTTTCAGTTGTGAAAAGACCTCATCTTCAAATCTAACTTCACACCTCATTTCTTTGGCATTTGTTCTTTCTCTCTCTCTGATAAAGCTTGAGCAGTAATTTATTTAACTATTTACTGAGTTTCTAAGCATTTCAATTAAAAATAAAGAACTGACAAGATCAATTTGTATTGTAAACTTCCTTCAAAAGCAGATACCAGGATATCCTCTGCCTTATCACAATTAAATGACCCACATACAAGAATTTTAATTTTCTTTCCAGTTCCTAGCTTATATGCTGCTACGTTTTTGGTCTTGCTGTCTTGATGGGAGATTAAAATACATACCTTGACACTGGTAAAGTGTAGAGATTGGAGGGGATGTCATGTCATAATGGAAACAGTTAATAGGATAATTCTTGGCTCCTTGAGGATAATTCTCACACCATATCTGAGGATGTGTGTATGTGAGTACAGGTGTTATCAAGAGTACGGAAGTTTTGAACCTCTGGAGCCTGAGTTACAGGGCCTCCCTATGGATGTGGGGTTACCTGAAAGATGAGTACACTAAAGTTCATCTGGCTTCCTATGGTTTGTTATCTTTTTCTTTCTTTTCTTTTTCTCTGTGTAGCCCTGGCCTGGAATTTGCTTAAACCCATCTGCCTCTGGCTCCCAGGTGCTAGGTGTATTCCACCACCTGGCTTGTTTTCTTTATTTTTTTGCCAGGTGGTGGTGGCACATGCAGGTAAACATTCATGCACATATATAATGACATAAGCAATTATTTTATTTTTTTAGTGTAATTTTTTCCCCTCGGAGACAGGGTTTCTTTGTATAGCTTTGGAGCCTGTCCTGGAACTCACTCTGTAGACTTGGCTGGCCTCGAACTCAGAGATTCACCTGCCTCTGTCTCCCAGGTGTTGGGACTAAAGGCGTGCACCCCCAACACCCGGCTTAAAATTTAAGTAAAGAAGTCTTTAATCCCAATACTCGGGAGGCAGAGGCACAGGCTGGATCTCTAAGTTGAGGCCAGCCTGGTCTACAGGCTTGAGTTTCAGAACAGACAAAGCTACATAAAAACAAGGAAAAAACAAAACAAAACAAACAAAAAAGGATGTTGGCCTCTATGTGTGTACGTGGTACCAAGTGACAGTGCACCAAGGTACATGCCTGGTGCCCAAGAATGCCAGAAGAGGGCATCAGATGCCCTAGGACTGAAGTTTCAGATAAGCAAGCCATCCTAGTTTTTTTTTTCTTATTTGAGAATCTTAACCCAGGATATACTGCAACTCAGTCTCCCAAATGCTGTGAATATAAAATTGAACCACTCTGTCCAGCCAGATACTATCTGTATATTTGGCAGTAAATATTCATTCTGTTTTTTTTTTTTTTTTTTTTTTTTTTTTTTTTCTTTTTGGTTTTTTTGAGATAGGGTTTCTCTGTGGCTTTGGAGGCTGTCCTGGAACTAGCTCTCTTAGACCAAGCTGGCCTGGAACTCACACAGAGATCTGCCTGCCTCTGTCTCCCCAGTGCTGGGTTTAAAGTTGTGTGCCACCACTGCCCAGCTAACATTCTGTTTCTAAAATTATTAATGCATTAGCAAATATCCTTTTAATAGAGCACAAAGGGCTAGTAATAATAACAGTTATTGTTGTTGTTTTAGACTAAAATCTCATGTGATCAAGCTTGGCAACAGTTCCAGATTCTCTTCTGAAGGAAGACTTTGCAAAGGACCCATGAGTCTGTGTCCTGCTTGCTTCCTTGCATCTTTTCCTACGCTATAGCCATGCCTCGGTCCAGCCATGCAAAGCCTTCCAAATCCACCAGGACGGATCTACATAAAAAGGAAAGCACCCTGAAGAAGACATTAAAGCGGGTTGCTAAGCATAAGTTGTCAGGGAAGATGAACCCTGGTAAACTGAAGGAATTAATTCAAAGAAGAGATGCTAAGAAAGAAATAGAAGGCAAAACTGTCACACCCTCCAGAAGCCTCATGACCAGAGCTGGGGCAGCCCGAATGAATGAGGATATGATGACCCAAGACCTTTTTCAGAATCCAGAGTCCTTAACTTGCAAGGGGTTTACAATGGCTCTCCGAAGGACCTCTCTTAGCAGGCGACTCTCCCAGTGCCCAGTAGTAACATCCATACCTAAGAAAGTGCCACCTTCTAAGAGTGTTAAGAACCAGCAGTGTAATCCTAATACCCAGGATGACACAGTGGTAGAGCACTCAGAAAATGATTCAGTCCCCAGCCAAGACCCCATCGTGTCCCCAGACACAGAGAACCTCATTGGTGAAGAGAGCTTGTGTTTAGTTGAAGATGAGATCCAAGAGATAGCCCAGTCTTGGCCTCAAAGGGTAGAAGAGTCCCAAAGCTGTCCTTCAGCATATGGGAGTCCTGCAACAGATATTCTTTCTGGGCCACCTGAAGGGACACAGTGTGATGGACTACTCTCTCCTGAGACATCAAATGATGTTGTCGGCACCTCCCCTCAGGAGTGTGCTCCTTTGCTTCAAAGATCAACTCCTGAAGTCACCTCGCAGAATGAAAGTAGCAATCAGTTTGAAGACTTGGGGCCACAAGTAGACTGTCTTAAGCTACCAGAGCCTTCTCCCATTCCAATGGGAAGTGAACATAATTGCTTTCCCACCTCTGGTTTTAAGATCCTACCTGAACTGGATCTTAAGAATTGCATGTCTCTTGATGGGTCTATATATCCCACAGCTCTGATAAAATTCCTCTTGGCAGGCTCACAGCCAGATATTGTTGGTGCTAAATCCCAAGAAGAAACCCTCAAAAGTAACCCCGATCAAGCTGGGTGCTGCCCAGATCAGTTTCTGGATTCCACTTCTGTCCTAGGACAGGCTTTCAGTACTCTCCCACCTCAGTGGGAACTTCCTGGTGCTAACTTGGTTCCTGGTGAGGCCCTGGACAAGGTCTCAGACTCACCAGAGGATCTTGGTGCTATTACTTTAGTAAACCAACAAGAAACTATGAATGTGGGCATGGGTACTTCCTCAGACCTGCCTACCTTCCTTCCTAACCCTTCAAACACAGTTGCTACCTACAGTACTCCTCCTCCTGGGCCTGAGCCCCACAGCTATGCCTCCTGTGGGCTTGAGGACCAAGGTGCTATACCAATTTTAACTTTGGACTCAGGACTTGCTCCCCAACCCCCACCAAATGCCGAGGTAAATTCAATACCTCCAGTAATAGCTACAAACAGTATACAAGATGAGAAGCCTTGTGTAAACCCTTTTCCAGTTAACACAGGGTTTACATTTGCCTCCGAGAATGGGCTCCAGAATGCTCCATTGGATCTGACCCAGTGCTCTCAGGCTGCTTCCAGCAAATTGGAAGGAGGGATGATTTCTCAGGCCAACATGGCCAGTGCAGCTGATGTCAAAACCACAGTGTCACAGGCCAGTGCCTCTTCATGTAAATCTACACCACCCATTGTGGAGAGGAAGAAACGTAAGCCTTGTGGGGTCTGTGAGCCCTGCCAGCAGAAGACCAACTGTGGAGAGTGTACCTACTGCAAGAACAGAAAGAACAGCCACCAGATCTGTAAGAAGAGAAAGTGTGAGGTGCTCAAAAAGAGGCCAGATGCCACCACATGGGTACAGGTAAGGGAGCAGCCATGGGGTTGGGGGTATTTTTAGGGCTTGATGAAGCACACCCCCCCCCCCATTTCCCTGACATCTCTCTATAAGAACTTGTGAATGATATCTTGTGGTGGAGTGATGCTGGGGATTGAACCTAGGGCTTCTAGTAAGCTAAGCATGTTCGCTACCCTTACCTGCTTCCTCAACCCTTACCTAAATCATTTTTTTTTTCCTCTTGAGATTGGTAGCCAAGGTTGTATGTAGCTAGGTGAGGATTACCATAATCTCTCATCCTGCATTAGGTAGATAAGGACTGCCCACACTCCTGCTCCAGGTTCTGAGCACACCTGCATGAATGTGAAAGAAAAAAATCCTTTTTCTCCCAGACTGAGTCTCTAGCTTTGGTGTCTGTCCTGGAACTCTCTTTATATAGACCAGGCTGGTCTGGAGCTCACAGCAATCAGTAATCTGCTTCCTAAGTGCTGGGGTCAAAGGCATGTGCCACCACTGACCAATTCTTTTCTTGATTTTTTTTTTATAATTTATTTTATGTGCTTTGTTGTTTTGCCTGCATATATAGGTCTGTGTGAGGGTGCTGGATTCCCTGGAACTGGAGTTACAGACAGTTGTGAACTGTCACAAGGGTACTAGGACTTGAACCCTGATCCTTTGGAAGAGCAGTCCTCTTAACCACTGAGCTATCTCTCTAGCACCACATTCCTGCCTTTGCTTCTGAAATACTTAGTGTATGTACTGTGCTTGGCTGACCTCCTGAACTATTCATATATCAGATGGACCATAGTCTCTTAGCATTATTTAGTTTGAGCGATCAAATATATATGGCTGTTTGCATGCTAAACATGTATTCTTCCTATGATCCATATGCCCCAGTCCCTTCTATTTAATACCCAGATTATCTCAAAATTAGCACAGCAGTACCTCCAGCCATTGTATTCTGGCATAAGACTGTGCTGACAGTGTGTATACACTCTTTACTGCTCCAGATCCCAAGTCAGGTGTTTATCAAAGTGTAGTTAGTTGGTTTTAGTGGAGAACTGCAGCTAGGAACCACTATCTCAATAAAAATATTATTGCAATGTTAGAAGGTTGTTATGGGGACCAAAGAGACCGATCATTGATTAAGGTGCTTCAAGTCTGACAACTTCTTGCTATTCCTGGGAAACATATGGTAGAGGGAGAAAATCCAGGTCATCTTGGTGTGCATTTTTTGCACCATGATGTGCAGGCCAGCCTACCAGTAAATAGTTTTTGTTTTATTTTGCAACAGGGTTTTGTCAGTGCTGGAACTAGCTCTATGGACCAGGCTGGCCTTGAACTCAAAGAGACCTGTCTGCCTCTGCCTCCTGAGTGCTGAGATTAAAGGTATGACCTGCTAGCACCACCGAGCTCCAGTATATAAATGCAATAAATTTCAAGAAGTCATAATTTGTTTTGAGACAAAGACTGGCCTCAAACTTACTATATGGAAGACTGGCCTTTAATTGCTGATTTTCCTGCGGCTTCTTCCCAATTTCCCATGGGGTAAGGTCATGCTTCCTTTGCTTTGCTTTATGAGACAATGTATCACTGTGCTGCACAGGTTGACCTGAGGCCAACATCATCCTCATCTGGAGATCTGGCCAGTGTGGTGGGCACACATTTTAATCCCAGCACCACCAAGAAACAGAGTGATAGGGAGAGAGGAAGGAGGACAGAGGGGACGGGAGGGAGAAACAGAGGAGACAAAGAGAAAATAATCTGTGTTCCTTTTATGATGGGTGGTGACTGGAACATGGACGCCTAAACAAACCCTTTCTTCCAAGAGTTGGGTTTTGGCAGCATTTGGCCAGTGTAGGCAAATGGGTGAGCTCCTGGTTTCACTGATAGACCCTGTTTCAAAAAACAAGGTAGATGGCTCCTGAGGAACAATTTAGGTTAACATGACTTCTGGCCTTCACACATGCTCACATTCACACAGTAGTGTGGGTCTCAGAAGCAGCAGGGGACTCACCAGATCTTCCCATCTGTCCATAAGGAATTCTGCCTGAGCATTGCACATAAGCTATTTTGTTAAAGAGCAAAAGTGAGGTCAAGACAGGAGAAAAAAACCAGAGTGCAGGACAGGGGACGATGTATACAGTGCATGTAGGATACACGCAGCAAATAGTTCTTGCCTTTGTGTGTGAATCTCTTCTTAGAGAGCTAGTTTGCAAGATTTGTTTCCTGGGTACAAGAAATTAAAACAATTTTGTAAAAAGTTTGACTATTTTTCTGCATTTGAGTGTTTGCCTACATGTATGTAAATGCACTGCATGCATGTTGTCCACAGGTCAAAAGAGGGCTTTAGATCCCCTAGAACTGCAGTTACAGACAGCCATGAGCCACCATGTGGATGCCAATGATGGAAGCCAGGTCCTCTCTGCAAATGCAGCAACCACACTGAACCTCTGAGCCATCTTTGTAACACTTTAAAAAAAATTTTTTTGGTGGCTTTTTTGAGACAGGGTTTTTCTGTAGCTTTGGATCCTGTCCTGAAACTAGCTCTGAAAACCAGGCTAGTCTCGAACTCAGAGATTTGTCTGCCTCTGTCTCAGCAGAGATTAAAGGTGTGCGCCACCACCAATCCTTAAAAAGTTTTTGAGCTGGGTTTTCTCTGTGAAGCCCTGGCCTGGAACTCTTTAGACTGGACTGCCTCTGTCTCCCAAGTGCTGGGTCTAAAGGTGTGGGCTAAAACTTTGCTTTGAATTGTGCTTAGTTTTACTGATTTCAGGCTGTACACCCAGCTCCTGGGAAGTGGAGATAGGAGTTCAAATCAAAGTCATCCCTGACTATATAGAAAGCTAGTCAGGGCTATAGGAGATCCTGCCTGGAATCAAATCAAGGGAGAACAAAAATGAACCCATACCTGGCTAACCATACAACTTTTTAACCACATTTAGATTTTGGTTTGCAACACTCTAAACTGGAAAAGGAATGGGAGAGTGGGCAAATCAGCATGAGTTTGCTTTGGGCCAGATGCAGGTGGTGCAAGACGAGGTTATCCTCAGACAGGGCCTCAAGTAGCCCAACTTGGCCTCAAAATATTTGCCATGTAGTCAAGAACTACAAATTTCTCATCCTTCCTTCTGTCTCTACCTCTGTAATCCTGGGATTGTGTGCCAACATGTGTTGCTGCAGCTGGAATCTGGAGGTTTATGTAGGTTAGACACATAACTTTGTTAACTGCTACACTTGCAGCTCAATTCTCCAAAGCAGGGAAAGTTTGTCTGGCTTTTTTCTAGTGGGGATAACTGAAACAAATGCTAATTTACTGCAGAGATTTACGAAGGATTTCATAGGGCATATAAGGACAGCTTTAATTTATTCCGTCTTATTAACAAATGTAAAAATTTGAAGTGTGTGTGTGAGAGAGAGGGGAAGAGGGAAGGAGGAGAGATACCATAGCACTGCATGTTCTGAGCATCACAGCCCATATGTAGAAGTCAGAGGACAACTTTCCAATGAGTCTTCACCTAATGGGTACTGGGGACTGAACTCCCAGCTTGGTAGCAAGCACCCATTACCCCCAAGCCATCTGCAATCTTATCTGATTGCGTATCTGATCTCCACATCACAGTATCTCACTTTCTTTAGTATTTTCAATGTTGAGTGTCATAGCAGTGCCAAGGCTTGTGAGCTTCCTGAATAGCTCTGTCTACAGGGCATGCCCGTGCCTTGCTTTCACTATAATTTTTGTTTCACATGGCAATTTTGTTTAACATGACAATGCTGTCACATTCCTTATGATGTGCTGTGATCTTTTCCCCTCCCTTGAAGTGCTTTCTTGTTGAACTTTAGGTGGCTTGACTATAATCTTAGTACTCAGGAGGATTGGTGACAGGATCAGTTAGTTAGGCTCATTACCTCAGGACCACCCTGGGAAACAGAATCTATCTCCGAGTTAGATACACAGATTTGCCTTCAACACTAAAAATTGAGTTCTCCTTTTTATTGAATGCCAAGAGTCCTTATGTTCTAGAGAGTAGGGTGTGTAATTTTTCCTAGGATGCTGGGTTTTGTTTGGTAGGTGCATGCATGCGTGTACATGTGCACACATATCCTTGCATGCTAGCAAATGAATTCAGGTCCTCCTTGGGCATGCTGGTGACTGCTCTACTATTGAGATACAGACTCAGCCTATTTAATGTCATTCTTGGAAGCACAAAAGCTTCTGAGGGGCTGCAATGCTTAATTATTAACCAGTATTCACAAGACCCTGTGTTAAGTCCCCAGCAAGAACAACAAAAACAAAAACAAAAGTACAAAAGGTTTCCCTGTCATTTGTTGTCCTGTGTTGCCTGACATAAAAACCATGTGGTGTGTCAAACAGCTAGCTCTAAAATGTTGCTAGTTTTTGTTTGTTTGTTTTTAATTCCCTGGTTGCTTTAGCTTTTTCATCCAACCCTCATATATATGAACTCATAACTGCTCTTTGTCCCATGTGCTCACTTCAGTGGCAGGTTTGTGAGGCTAGGATTTTCTTTTTATCCTTCTTCATTCCTTTCCCTATTGTGCCTGGTGGGTACCAGAACCTGCAGAGGTGGCTGCCATATAGATGTTGGTTGAATTTGGTGATTATAGTATGGAATTATAGTATGGAACTGTATGTATATTAGTGAATATTGGTTCCTGTGGTTTTTGCTTGTTTTGGAAAAGGGTTTCACTGTATTCCTGGCTGGCCTGGAACTAGCTATCATTTTAGCTTCTAAAGTTCTGGGATTACAGGTATGTCCTGTCAAAAGCTGGCAATATTGGTGTGTTGGAAACAGCATTTAATATTTATTGGGTCTCCAATGTTGCATTAAACATTTGACTCACTTTAATCTTACAGCAGTCCTGCAAGACTTTCTGCCTCCAGCTACTGAAGAGGCTAGATGATTTGCCTAGGCTGTAGCTGATGTGGAATCAGGATGTGGTTTGGAAGCTCTGTTCAATTTATCCTCCATTTCTTTGAGCGGGGGTGATAAGCAGGCTGTGAGGGC